CAAATGGGGAGCCCCTTATAAAACCATCCAATCTTGTGAGAAAATAACTCTCATGAGAACAGGATGGGGGAACTCCTCCCATGATTCAATTATCTTCACCTGGTCCCTCCTGTGATGTAGGGATTATGGAAACTACAATTCAAGATGAGATTTGGGTGGCAACACAGCCAAACCGTATCACAGGAGCAGGCAGTAGTGGGCTGCAGGCAGTGCCTACTGGCTTCAAGGGAACAACTTCTAAATTTTCAGGAATTTGTTAAGTCTGTTAATAAGCCAGTATTAAATATCAAATTATATTAAATTACAATTAAATATGTTCTATTAGGCCAGGCATGGTGGCTCCTATAATCCCAGCACTTTGGGAGGCTGAGGCAGGCAAATGGCTTGAGCCCAAGAGTTCGAGACCAGCCTGGGCAGCCCTGTCTCTACAAAAAATACAAAAATTAGCCAGGCATGGTGGTGCACACCTGTGGTCCCAGCTACTCAGGAGGCTGAGGTGGGAGGATCACTTGAGCCCAGAAGGTTAAGGCTATAGTGAGCTGTGATCGTGCCACTGCACTCAAGCCTGGGTGACAGAGTAAGGCTCTGTCTCAGAGGGAAGAAAAACACACTAAAACCAAACGAGATAAATAGTCAAAACTCCTCACTTCCTAATTATTTTACCACATTACTATCACCTGTGTTTGAGGTTGTCATGTCCACCGTATCTGTGGGGTGGAAATATTATATAATGCTGCACAGCTGTGCATTCATCCCTCCCCAACTCTGCAATTAAGGACACTATGTTGATAGTTTGAAATCAGCTTTGGTGAGAGTATTTATACCACAGATCTCGATGAATGTTATAAATCAAAGCAGTTTTGCTCCAGAGAACTGGTTGTTAAACATTTGCCAGCACACCACTGTGTGTGTTTGCTGTACAGGGATTCTAGGGATGGGGACACAACCACCTTTGTGAGACCACTCTCCTGACAATTGAGTGGAACACACTGATTTTAAGATCACAGGCCCCTGAGGTCTCCAAGGTCCAGCTCAGTGACAGGTGCGGGCACAACTGCCACCCCAGGCAGACAGAGAGAGGGGCTGGGAGCAAATCCTCCTTCCCTCACTCTTGATGACAGCCACTGGGCAGGAGCTGTGGGCATGGGGCACAGGGGCAGTCTGGGCATGAATGAATGCATGGTGCAGGCCAGGGGTCTGCACTGAGAGTCGGGTGAGGCGTGGCCAGAAACAGAGAATGAGGAGTGGATGCCACCCAGATCCTGCAAGCAGGAAGCTTGGATCCTCACTGAGGCCAATCTCATCCCTTCAAACCCCTTCAAATCTCAGGGACTCTAACCCGAGAGCTCCTGCCCACTGCGGGAATAGCACCCAGGCCAGGCGCAGGCAGGCACTGCCTGTGGCAAAGTGCCTAGGAACTGTGTCCCCAGGAACAGCAAGGGACCAAATGGAGCGCCCTGGCCGGCGAGGCTGAAGACCAGCTTTGTTATTGTCTCGTGTTTCCCGGGGTTCCTGGAACCAGGTCTTGAACACAGTAGAGATCTAACGAATGATAACAGCTAACAATGACCAAGTGCCAGGCTTTAGGCATGTTAACTAACTGAAACCTCTTCAAGCTGCACACCATGATCATCCCCATTGAACAGACAAGGTAGGTAAGGCAGAGGGGTAAATAACCTGCCCAGGGTAAGGAAGTGATGGAGCCAGGATTTGTACCAGGCAGGCTGGCTCCAGAGTCCATCTCTTACTGTCGACCCCATTCCCTCCCTGCTAAATGAGGGAGGCAGGTGAAATGCCACATGAGGGTTGGGGAGATATTGGGGTGAGTTGGGGTGTTGAAGTCACAAAGACGAGGCTCAGCAACTTGCTGAATGACTTGGGCAAGCTGCTCATTCCTTATCTGAGTTATTGTGATGATTTTTAAAAAGAAGAAGAAGTGAGCTGAGATTGTGCCACTGCACTCCAGCCTGGGTGACAGAGCGAGACTCTGTCTCAAAAAAAGAAAGAGAGAAAGAAAGAAAGAAGGAAGGAAGGAAGGAAGGAAGGGGAGAAAGAAAGAAAGAGAGAGACAGAGAAGGAAAGAAATAAAGAAAGAAGGAAAGAAAGAAAGAAGGAAAGAAAGAAAGAAAGAAAGAAAGAAAGAAAGAAAGAAAGAAAGAAAGAAAGAAGGAAGGAAGGAAGGAAGGAAGGAAGGAAGAAGGAAAGAAAGAAAGAAGGAAAGAAAGAAAGAAAGAAAGAAAGAAAGAAGGAAGGAAGGAAGGAAGGAAGGAAGGAAGGAAGGAAGGAAGGAAGGAGGGAAGAAAGGCCAGGTGTGGTGGCTCATGCCTATAATCCCAGTCCTTTGGGAGGCCAAGGCGGGTGGATCATCTGAGGTCAGGAGTTTGAGACCAGCCTGGCCAATATGGCAAAACTCTGTCTGTACTGAAATACAAAAATTAGCTGGGCATAGTGGTGCGTGCCTGTAATCCCAGCTACTGGGGAGGCTGAGGCAGGGAGAATTGCTTGAACCCAGGAGGCAGAGGTTGCCGTGAGCCAAGATTGCGCCACTGCACTCAAGCCTGGGCAACAGAACAAGACTCCATTAAAAAAAAAAAGAAGAAGAAGAAGAAGTAAAAGAAGAAGGAGAAGGAGAAGGAGAAGAAGAAAATGTTGTAAAGGGCCCAGCACAGTGCCTGGCACATAGTTGGAGCTCAGACTTAGGAGATCACGGTGTTATTACAGGCGTTAGGGACCTGGCTCCAGCCCAGCACTTCCATCACCAGCGTGGGGCTCAGGCAAGTCCCCCCAGACCTCAGTGACCACATCTGGAACAGGAGGGGATGGGGCTATATGATCTCTGAGGTCCACACCAGCATGAATATTCTCTGCCTTTACAAATAAAGCAGGTAAGAGGGGGGTGATCTGAGTGTAAGAAGAGACTGGCTGCGCTTTAAAATCCTGTAATTAGTGTTTGAACAGACACACAAAAATAGTAATTATCCAAGTGTGGTCGGGAATCTTGGGTTCTTTCATTAACTTGACAGAATTGCCAATGAGGTAGCATTTGGAAACACAAAACGACTCAATTCATTCCTCACTGATGGGAATCTTTAAGGGGAACACATCCCTTCCAGAAAGATCCAGATGAGAAAGCAGCAGATACGGGCTCAGCTGCTCAAACTAGCCCAGTCCAGGCTTGAAACCTCATTCATGATCCTCTTATCACCATTTCTAAATCAATCACAGGACAGGCCACTCAAGGGAACTGCTGAGAAGTGGCAGGAATAGGAAAGCACCCTGGGGACTGCTTCTGAAACCTGCAGCTCCCACCCCTTCCAAACAGAGTGGGGGAACTGCGGGGCAGGGTTTGCAGGAGCACCGGGCCTTGCCCCTCAGATGGGAAATGTCTGGGAGTCAGATAACAGAAAAGTTTCCAACTGGAGACTGTGGGAGGCTTAAGAAAAAAAGTCAATGTATAAAATCAAATCTTATGATAAACACCCAGAATGTGGTGTCAACACCACCATCCAAGGTGGCAAAAATGGATTTGAACTAAACCTTATGTGTTTACACCACACTAGGGCAGCCCCCCACTTGTTTGTCTTTGTCTTCCCAGCCTCCTAACATAACACCTGGTGTGTCCCAAGCACTGACCCACATGAATGCCTTAAATAAAGGAAAACAGGCAAATCCTAAGTCACCTGGCTTGGTTTCAGGAAACTACCATGATCTGGTATATCAGCTTTATCTGATGGGAACCAGGTAGACATCTGAGCCTCTACACATCCTGCAGGCAGCAAGCTCTCTCCAGGGCCCAGAGAAAGGTCACATCCACAAATGGGCTGGGTTAGAACTACAGCACCAGCCCCTGGTTGCTACTTTCTCATGCAGCGTCCAGAAATGATTTGAATGTCACAGCACCTCAGTGTCCAGCTTATTCTGCTTCAAAACAATCCCAGCTTCATACCAAATACACTTTTCTTCATTTTGCCATCTGTTCCGTTTGCAGGGGAGAGCATGCGGGCTTTTTCACCCATTTGGAGACCCTGCCTGTAGAACCCTCAAGACATTCATTTCCTTCATTCGTTCACTCTTTTTTTCAGACAAGGGATCTTAGGATCATTCATTCATTCTATACAGATTTGCTGATATTGTACAGGTTGCCTCTCAGAATCCAGTGCCTGTTCTCAGCACCCATGCTGACTGGTAGGGGGGATAAAGACAGCCTTACACCCTGGGAGAGGCGGTCCAGAGTAGAAACATCAGACACTGTGGGAGAAAGAGCCAAAGAACAGGAGGGAACAGCCAGACTTGCATGTTAGATGTTTGGAGTCTGAAAATATCCAGAGAAAAGAAAGGTAGGTGTAACCTAGCATTTGAAAGTGCTAAACAGCAAGCCAGCACTCAGGGCAAGTGGCCAGGAAGCTTTCCAAGAAAAACTTCTGGGAGGATAAAGGGAGATCGGTGAAAGGACCGACCGCAAAGTCGGGCGGGTACTGCACGCATGACCCATTAACTACGGCTCTTGCGGCCTCGCCAGGCTCTTCCAACCCGCACCCACCCGATATCCTTCCCTCCTTCAACCAACAAGTACTGACCTTGCCCGAACGCTGGGAGCTGGCCCTGTGCCCGGGGCAGAGGGGCCTGCTTTTTCTTGTATTCTCTCTAAGCCTGCAGGCTGCCCGCCTGGGGCGTCTCCAAGCACTAAACCCCACGTGACTCCATCTCCTCCCTCTTCCCCGGCTGGGTCCACGGGAGGTCCCTTACCCCCTGCTGGCTGTGCCCCACTTGCCAGGGAGCGCCTTCCTGCGAAGGGGAATCTGGGGACACCCCCGCCCGTGCCCGCCCACTTCCTACTCTGAAACCACAAATCCCCGGGAATGCCCCCCGCCCCGTCGGGTGGAAAATCGGCTCCTCGGGGTTCCTTCAACCCCAGAGTCCGGGGGCGGAGGGCTGAGTTTCGACCACCGACGAGGGCGCTAGCGGAAGGGGGAGGGGAGGAGGCGCACCCGCGGCCTTACCCGGGCATGAGGCCAGGGGGCACGTAGGCGGCATTGAACTCGGTCAGTAGGGTGCCCGCGCTGCGGGAGGCCATGGTGGGTGCGCGAGTGCAGCGAGCCTGGCGCTCCGCTCCGCCCCACGGTAAATAGCGGCGGGTCACCCGGCAACGGCCACGGCCACGGCGGCCCTCCTGGCAACGCCAGCTGGCCCCGCTGTCCTCGCGTTCCGGGACACTGCGCCCTTCTGGCGGCCCTCTCCCGGAGCAGCCCCACAGGGCGTGCACAGAAGGCGCCTCCCATTTCCGCGAGCTCTGCTGGGTGACCCCTGTCACTCTCCCCTTCGCATCGGGGCTCTCTGCCTTGCTGCCTGCGGGATGTGCAGAGGCTCGGATGCGGGACAGAGGCAGAAAATCGCTGTAGAGGCCTCGCAGGATCCGTCTTGCGGTGACCCGGCTTGGAACGCGACCCTACCACAAAGGACAGGCCAGGTCCTGACTTTGGAGGCCACGCGCAAAGCAGCTGCCCCACCGTGGTTCAGGCCCAGAAACCTGAGTAGCCGAAGGGTCCCCAGGAGCTATGTCTCTTCAAGGCTTCCCCTGCACCCCAGCTCTATGGGGGTTCCAGGAAGGGGCTTTGCAGTGGGCCGCGCTGGGCGTGGTTGCCTAGGACGCTGTGCATAACTGTGTGTGTGTATGTGTGTGTGTGTGTACATGCGTGCGTGCGTGCGTGTGTGCGCGCGGGTTGCGAAGAGGGGCATTTTTCATGTTTCTCCTTAATCTCTAGCTGGTGGCTACCTTCTCACCTCATCATACCCTCAAACTACTCCATAAAAGGAGTTTTGCTGGTAAGGGGCAAAAAGAAAATCATAGAACGTCTGGGTGTGTGATTTACATCTGTCCCCAATGCTGCCGTTCATTTTGGGGACGGCATCTGCAGGGGTGGCGCTTGCCCCAGAGAGCAGGCCTCCTGAAGGCCCACCCCCTTGTGTAATCCTGCCTCCCTCCCTCCCTGGGACTGCTTCACCCGGGTTTCTCTAGGGACCCTCACACCAGCCTTGGTGCCTAGGGCAGGGCCAGGGCCTTTGGGTTTTTCATAAGGCGTGAGGGTGTGGGGACAGCTTCCATGGTGCCAGGCTCTTGGTGACTCGGGTGGCGACCCTGCCACCCCAGCTCCCTCTGCAGCAGTCCTGGTGTCATGAAGAAGCCTGGCAGTTCCCCCTTCATCTCCGGATCTTGCTTCTTTCCTTCAGATGCCAGATGGAGAGCAGTGCTCCCTTCACACTTCGGTTCTGTAAATGGCAGTGGATGAAGACCACAGACGCTACTGGGTTCACAGGATGCTGCCACCAGGATTCTCCAAAGACTCCCCCTGGCAAATGCCAGTGAAATGGAGGGGAGCCACATGCTTCCCAGAGGCTCAAGAAGCAGAAACACTGAGGCCTGGTGGGAAAGGGAAAGCTGTAGGCAAAGAAATGGCTGCAAACAAACTGGGTGGAAGGAAACTCCATCCATCCTTCAGAATGTAGTCATGTCTGTATTTTTCTCGATTCTCATTGGGGAACATGTTCTACAATAAGGAAAACATGAGTCAAACCCCCAGCCCTGGTGAGGTTGACCACCTACTCCCTCCCCCATTCAGGGCTGCCCAACCAGTCCTGCTGGTAAATCCACCACCCTGCTTTCCACCTGCCTGTGTTCTGGTCCGTCTGTCTCGTCTGATTGGGATCTTGTGCCATCCATATCATATTCATCCCTGAATCTCCGCACCTGGCTCTGGAAAGAATTCAGTAAACGTTCGTTACATAAATTATATACTCAGTTACCAAAATGGGTAACAGAAGAATAGACACTAAAAAGTGGGATCTGGTCGGGCACGGTGACTCACAACCGTAATCCCAGCACTTTGGAAGGCCAAGGCAGGTCAGCAGTTCGAGACCAGCCTGGCCAACATGGTGAAACCCCATCTCTACTAAAAATACAAACATTAGCTGGGTGTGGTAGCATACGCCTGTAGTCCCACCTATTCGGGAGGCTGAGACAGAAGAATTGCTTGAACTCGGGAGGCAGAGGTTGCAGTGAGCCTAGATCACTCCACTGCACTCCAGCCTGGGTGACAGAGTGAGACTCTGTCTTAAAAAAAAAAAAAAAAGTGGAATCTGTCTTAGGTTTCAGAAGGGTCAGCTGACTCCACTGAGAGCTGCTGAGTGAAATTGCCACCATTTTATGGATGTGGAAAGTGAGATTCAGCAGCGATCAATGCCTTGGCTAGGGCAGGTTCATGGGCTTTTACTTAAAGATGCACAGGGTCTGTAAGAGGCCTCATGAATTTCACTCCCTTCAGGGGAGGACCTCCAGAGAACCAAGGAAGGAGATATTTTCTGTTGTTGTTGTTGTTTTACCTTGTAGCCACCAAGCCTTAAAAACACAGATCACCTGATGACCTCATGGATGGAAAATGCTAGTGAATTTAGGTGGTTTTTTTAAAAGATATTAAACTTATCCAGGTTTTGAAAATTTAGCATTCACTTGTATTCAATAAACATAATACTCTAAGACATTTTAAAATTCAATATGATTAGATAAATGTGAGAAAGGTAAGCAAGAATTGGTTAGGAAAAAGGGCAAAGGAAAAAAAACGTAAGTAGAAAAAGAAAAATAGGGCACAGTAGCAAGGAAATATCTAGAAGGAGGAAAGAAGGCTCTTGGGACATACTGTAGGTTATTTGGAATGTAGAATTCAAAGGAAGTAACCTCTTGTTACCATGCTGTGAAAAATTAGTATTTCTCTTTTAAACCTTTAGACTCTGTTTCAGGTAGATCCCTGAGCTTACTCTTTTCTCCTTTCAACAGTTATTGGGCAGTCTACGGTGCACAGGATACCATGTGGGGCTCTGGGGTAGAGGGATGCTGTGCTCCAGGGTCCTCCTGAGGTCAGTAGGGGAAGAGGCAAGGGAAGCAGCCCCAGGACTCAGTAAGATGAGAGGAGGAAGGAGCAGCACAGAGGAGCACCCCAACTCAGCCGGGGTGCAGGTGCAGAGGCACCTCCAGGAGGAGGCGCTCGAACTGAGTCCAGGATGGGGTGGGGGGCATTCCACCAAGAATGAATGGCAAGAGCAAGGGTGCAGATGACCCAGCACAGCCTCCAGCATCAGGGATTCTGGCCCCCAGGGTCCCTTTCCTTGGTGCATGCTGCTGGAAGACAGAAGGGGGCAGTTCTCCTTTGGTCCTTAGAAATTTCACTGTAGACACCCCTTCTCCTGCCCCTAGCAGCTTATAAGAGCAGAAGGCCATTCAATTCTGCTCCTCTGGCTGGAAAGCAAACATCAGCCTGGCTTACCTTCGCTAGCCTGCCTGACCCCCAGCCTTGGGGTGGGGCTAGGTTAGTGCCCTGGATCCTTAAACATGGCCCCTCGTAGCACATAAGCCTCTGCTGTCTCCACAACCAGGCATCTCCATCATGCATGGCCTGGTCCTGAGCTTCCCCTCAGGCAGTGGCCCCAGCCTCTCTGCTTCCTGAGATTCAGAAACAGTGATTGCAGGGCAGGGCTCAGGGCCCAGCCTCTTGGGGGCACAGTCTCCAGCAGGGAAGAGGCGGGCATAGGTGGACAAACACATTTCCTTCTTCTTGTAGTGTGCTCCTGTGGGTGGGAGTGCCCCCTGCCCCACACCCACCCCACCCATGCGCATGCCCATTCCTCTGTGCCCACTGCTGGTGGCAGGGCTTGCTTAGTAGGGAAGCAGCAGAGCCCTGCGGAGGGGTGGGCAGAGCCTCCCTTCCAGGAGCTGGGAGAAGACACCTGAGGCTGGACAGAGCTTTATCTGGGAGCTGGCGGCTGCTGAATAATGAATTCCAACTCTGCTGCACTCCCAGGCTGCACACTGGGTGCACACACACACACACACGCACACACACACTGATACACACACGCTGGGCTGACAACTTGGAGGGGCGGGGGCTGGGAGGCTCTGTGAGTCGCTGCAGGAGCAGCTTAGCTCGGCTTGGTTGCCTTGGTCTCTGTGGGCAGCATCGGAGGGGGGTCGGGAGGAGGAGGAGGAGGCAGCGGCAGAGAAGAGAGAGGCGTGTGAGCCGCACTCCACCAGCTAGCTCCTTCCTGCTGCTCCTGCCTGGCAGTGCCAGGCAGCTCACACCAGCATGGCCCTGCTCATCCACCTCAAGACGGTCTCGGAGCTGCGGGGCAGGGGAGACCGGATCGCCAAAGTGACTTTCCGAGGTAGGGAAGCCCCTGTCTTAGAGGGACGCCAGCTCTGAGAGTTGGCCTGGCGCATGCTCTGGAGGTGGCCGGGGATGGGACAGGGCTGGGAGGATGAGTGGGAAAAGTTCTAGCAGGGCCTGGGACAATGAGCCTTTTCACAGGTAGTCATCTGCCTGGGACTGACTGGCCATTGTGATTTCTGGAAAATCTCGGTTCCCTGTGCTTCCATGCCTGTGTCTCCTTGCGCTTGCCAACATGCCAGTGCCCAGGCAGGGTGCAGAGCCCTCTGCCTGGGGAGGCAGAAGTGAGGACCACATCCCTGAGCTCAGGGAGACCCAGGACCCCCCTTCCTCTCTCTCCCTCTCCTGCAGGTTGATTTCCTTGAGCACAGGGTAGGGGCCAGGTCTGGAGCCTGGGACACCCAGGGTGGCTGGGAGAAACCAGGCAGCCAGTAGCTCCCTGGGCCCCAGAGTGATGGGGGACACTGTTGGCTTCTCTTACATCTATTCGTTGGCTTCTCTTACATCTATTCTCTTACATCTATTCTCTTACATCTAGGAAACCCTCACCTCTCTTCTGTCTGGTCTTTTCTCATCCTTTTCACTCGTGTTTTCAGTGACCATTTATCATGATCTACTGTGTCCCAAGGATAGAGGTAGAAACACAGAGCTGAGCCCAACCCAGCCCCAGCCCCAAGGAGCCTGCATCTGTTGAGCAGGCGTGGGACAAGCAGCACAGATATGTGAGACAGAGGGTGGGGGTGAGTGCAGCATGCATGCTACAGAAGCAGCACCCTCACCCAGGCTGGTGACTGGTGGTCAGGGAAGGCTTCCCGGAGGAAGCAACACTCAATTGATACCCGAGGGACCAGCAGGAGGGGGCTAGGAGAGGAGGTGAGGACTGAGTAGACAGGGGAAACGGTGTGCCCAGAGCTGAGAGGAGCTGAAACTCTGGAACCGAAAGAGGTTCCATGTGTCTACAGCCCAGAGAGTATGCAGGAGTGGAGGCCAGAGAGCCAGGCAGGGCAAGGATGCGAGGCAGGACCTGACCCCGTGGACAGCGGAGCCCCTGAGCATTTTAAGTGGGGAAAGGCAGGGCCAGGCTGACTGTGTCCTTCACCACCCACCTCTGCCTCTTCATGTGGTCGCTCCCCAGCCCTGGGGGTTGGGTGTACTTCTCACTAGACACGTCCCCTTCTCCCAAGAGAGGGGTCTGAGAGTGGTGAAGAGGGGGCAGAGAGGACCCCACCATACTAAAGAGCGAAGTGAACCTTGGGGCCCAAGCTGGACACATGTCTGCACCTCTGCTGGAAGGGACTGGAGAGGCCATTGGCAGAACATTCCAGCAAGAGCCCTGGGGCACCCACATCACCTACTCAGAGGCCCCGGGATGCCCACACTGCAGCTTGTGTTCATGGGGACAGGCAGGGGTGGAGGTGATGGCAGTGGCTGCCAGCAGGAGGAGGTCAGGCAGAAGGGAGAGGGAGGTGTGGGCTGGGCTGCCTTTTGCCTCCCACCCCAACCCACTGACTGCTTTCTCTGCAGCACCCTGGACTTCCCTCTGTGTGCCACCTGCTGGCTCATGCTGGCTTTAGAAAAAGCAAATGTGTCCTTTCACATGTGAAATGTGGCCCTGAGCTCCACGGGCAGCATAGTGTGGAGTAGTTAAGCTACAGGTTGCCGTCCTGCTGCAGCTGTGCTGAGACAGTCCAGTCTGCACTGGACAGGCCCATTTGCAGGCAGAGAAACGAAGACTCAGGGGTAGAACACTGTGCGTGGCATTCACAGAGGGGCTGAGGCACGGTGGTCCCAGCTCTCAGGATCCCATCCTGAGTACTCAATCCTGCAAGCTCTTTATCTCCTCCTGGGCCACCTGGGAGGCAGCACCTTGTCTATCTGACACCCATCTTCTCCTTGAAGCAGCGAAGGGCTGGGCCTTTAGCCTCACTGACCAAACAGGAATTAGTCTATTTGCAACCCTTGCTCTCTGGACTGAGTGGAGAAATAGTTTCCAAGCTCCACATCAGCAGGAGGTGGCCATGGGCAGAGCTCCCGGGGAAGGGGGCTGGGCAGCAGGAATAGGCAGATGACAAGCAGTTTCCAGAAAGTTCCTTTTTTACAACCAGAGATGCCTCAGCCACTCACCTGCAGCGTCCAGCAGTTGACAGCTGTAGGCATCCCAAAAGACCAACACCGACCACAATTCAGAGGGAATGGACCCACTCTACGACGTTCCGCAGCATCTCCCGGCACATGCAACCACTGGGGGCCGAGCAGGTCCTCTGCAGGGGGAAACAAGAAACTGGTAAACATGCAGAGGCAGACACTGGCCCCAGGCTCCCCAAGGCTTTTGAGTGAAGCTCAATGCTGGGGTGGGTAAGGGAGCCCTTGGTGAGTTGTGCCCATTGGCAGAGGCCCCAGGTAGGCCAGAGCAGCGGGTTGAAATATGGCTTGACCTTCTGTGCTGTGCCATCCAGGACACTAAGGAAAGAGCCCTGCTGGGCTATCATGGAAAAAGTTCTGGATATGGAGTCAGAAGCCCTAGATTCTACCTGGGTTCTGCCACTTACTTCACCCCTCTGACCCTCAGTTTCCTTATCTGTGAAATGGGCATGATAATAACGTGCACCTCACTAGACTGCTTCAGGGAAACCATAGGTATGGAAGAGTTTGAGAGAAGAGTATTCAAACAGCCGATGTGTGTGTGAGGCAGCCATTCCCGTTCTCCTTGGGAGCAGCTGTTGGCCCCTGAGTATCTTCTCTCCAGTCCAGCCTTCTCCCCCTGTCGGCCAGGAGTGAGCAGAGGGCCCCACGTGAGATATAAAGGGAAGAGGAGAACACATCTGATCGGTTCCAGCCTGTGCCAGGAGCAGGCAGATTGGGCCTGGCCTCAGCTCTGTAGGAGCCTCTGCTGAGATGTTGCGCAGGAACCCAGGCAGGCAGACCCCCGACACTCCTGTTCTCATCTGGCTGGGCGTGCACCAGCTTTGCCTGTGGCCACCTCTTTTTCCACTGCCCTCAGGTCAGTCAGCCCCACGCTCAGGCTCCTCAGTGCTCCCAGCCAGTTCTGTATCTAGCTCTTAGCTCTTACTGCCCCTGGCTGCTCCTAAGCTGGTCCTGCCCTGTTAGTGCATTTCCTGAACATGCTGATATTTGTGCACAGGCCTGGGACCCTGAGGTGAAGGGGCCAGGCTGGCCTTCCAGGAGTTACAATCCCATTGGGTCAGACAGGAGATAGGGAGTCCTGAGTGAATCTCCATTGTGCCTGCAGGCCACAGGGTTCAGCTGGGTTTCCCATTAACAAAATGGAGACAGTGATCCTCATTTAGCTCAGAGGCCTACAGTTCCCAGCAGTAATCAGGAGTGGGCTGTGTGAGAAGGAGCCATCTTGACCACAGGTTGCTACTCAAAGAGAGGAAGTATTAGCTTCAGGTATTTCCTTTATCAACACCTGAGATGGTTCCCTACGTCAATGACAGAGCCACAGAACGCAGGGTGTGAGCGGTCCTGAAGATCTTCTAGCCCAACCTTCTGTCCAGTGCTGAGCCCCAAGGCTGAGGGACCTGGACTGTCAGGGAACCAAGTGACAGACTGTCCAGGGCCAGCCCTGATGTCTCCCTTCTCTTTCCATCCCCTGAGCCTTCTCGCCAAGACATGAGGTTTGGGGATTTTCTGTGTGACACAAGAACGTCTGAAGGCTGGACCTGGCTTCCACATAATCCCCCGTGGCTGGGAATTGGCACGAAGGTTTGCAGGGCATCCACCTCCACCTTTTCATTCCTACTTCTCTTCCCACCCTACCCCTGATTCCCACCCTGCTATGTTCCCACTACATTCAACTTCCAGCCATTCCCAAAAGATACCACACCCTTTTACACCTCCAAGCCTTGAGACATGGATCATGTTTCTTCTGCCTGGAATGACCACCCTCCACCTTGAGAAAGCCCATTAATTCTGCTCATCCTTCAAGGCCCAGCTCACATGCCACCTCCTCCATGAAGCCTTCTCCTCCTCTAGCAGTACTCTGCACACATTCTTCCTACTGCTCTGCCACGGTACATTGCATTTCAGAAACTGGCCACACCTCTGCATGCTGCCCTAACTTTTGAGCATCTTCAAGACAGACATCAGACACGGTTTCTGTCTTTGCGGAATTCACTGTGTCATGGGTTTGAGTTCTTCCGCTGTGGCACTGCCACTCTTTGGCTCCATTTCCCCAACTATGAGCTCCCACCCCAGAACTTTCTATCCAAGGAGGATCAAGGGACTGGAAGAGGCCTCAAGGCCCAAGAACCAAGAACCCTGGCTCTTACTCCTTCTATCAACTTCCCTAGCCCAGAGAATCTTCCAGGGCTCCAAAGGGGCCTAACAAATTTTTTTTTTTTTTAGGCGGAGTCTCGCTCTGTCACCAGGCTGGAGTGCAGTGATGCGATCTCGGCTCACTGCAACCTCCGCCTCCTGGGTTCAAGCAATTCTTCTGCCTCAGCCCCTGGAGTAGCTGGGACTACAGGTGCCCGCCACCACGCCCGACTAATTTTTGTATTTTTAGTAGAGACGGTGTTGCACCATATTTCCCAGCCTGGTCTGTAACTCCTGACCTCATGATCTACCCGCCTTGGCCTCCCAAAGTGCTGGGATTACAGGCGTGAGCCACTGCGCCTGGTCAGGCCTCACAGATATTAGCAAGCTCAGCTCCCGCCCACAGGGGGGAAGCGAGAGGGATTGCATGTGTAAGCCAGAGTGAGTTAGGGGAAGACGGAGGAAGGAGAAAAGGCAGATGGGAAGGGAGGTGGGAGCAGACTCTGAGTTGGCCCCTGGAGCCCAGAAGGGAGGCAGGACTTTTTATTGAGCAGGGGAAATGGGCAGTATTTAAGAAGCCACTGAAGGATGGTAGCTCATTGGCAGGATCAAAGGCCGTGAAAGGGCCAGGCATGGTGGCTCAGGCCTCTTTCCGAACCTTACTGTGACCACACCTGGGGCAGGATCTCACCGTCTGACAGAGGAGAAGAAACACACACA